CCAATTTTTAAATAACAATCCTCAGAAGCATACGACCGCACACACGGCCGCCAAGGTCTAGTCCTATCTGAACTGCTAACTGACTTGGCCGTAAACAGATGGCGTCTACTAGCTCAGTGGAAATCGTGCTAGTTATACTATGTGCATAAGCACTTTAAGTGACTTTATGTTATGAAGTTGATACTATTGCTCCTCTCCTTGGTCAACGCGTGTGCTTTGTTTTAGTGGTAAAATGCTAACGCGGTGACTTTGAACACAAGGCCGTAAGTTGATAGTGCTTAGCACGTCTTGCATGTAAGCGTCCCTGTATCGGTTGTGATTCTTCCCTCGGCGCCTTGTTTTCGATCCCTTGGTATGACCAGGTAAATCCTTACTCCCAAGATCAAGATCAACTACGCTTCGGACGAATCCCTCACCATTTGTATGTCAGCAACGAGATGGTTGCCAGACACCTTCTATCACTCGTCTGAGCCTGACATCTATCAAGAACAAGGGTTGCGTCGTCTCTTACAGTTTACCGCAGTCTCTACCTACAACTATGTATTTAGTCGTTATTTCTGTATTAAGACCTCAGAAGCGTCTGCCTACGTAGTGTAAAAGAGTCCCGCCGCCATGAATATTTCCTGGCTATCAGGAGTTTTATTTTGCAACCCATATTAAAGAGGGTTTTCGTCCGATTCGGTAAAATATTTTTTTCTACAGGTGAAAATACGAAGCCAGCCCCTGTGGTCAGCTCTGCCTTTTGCTGACCCTTAATCGTCAGCGAGGTTCCCCCATGATCCTGGCTATATACCTGGGAGTAAGTTGTACACTTTTTCATATGATTGCGGGGCACGACAGAGGCGGCTCTTTTCGAAGAACATCCTTCGGCCAAAATCCACGCGCCGCCAAGTGGCATAGAATCTAACTTTGCTTACAGTGAAACCTGCAAATTTAGCAGCATACTCCTCATCATATCGCCCAATGCCTTCGACGGCACTTACATTAGAGCACATGCAGAAGACCGTAGTTGGTAGATGGAGGTAGAAGTAGTATGTACTACCTGTAAAGAACTGCTGGTGGATGTGCACAAGTTATTTGAGGTGCACGGCAGCATAATTGAGCCAGTGTTCAAGGAGGCTCGTCCTAGTTTATCAACTTCTCTTGGGTAAATAAGTGTGTTTCCGGTTAGGCATTTCTCAGTCAACTTTTTAAGATGGATTTAGTCTTCAGCTGCTAATTCGGTCCCTTGATCCATTGACCTTCCTCTTGATAAAAGTGATGACCTCAGGTTCTCGTGACGCCTCTTGTTGGTTGCATATACGCAGCTGAGTGGAGTTGTGGCCAGCACTTCTATCAGAATCTTTGCCTTTAGGTACTGAAAATATTCAATATATCACACTTCACAAAATACCACCATCCCCATCGCATCATGTTATAAATATCTATGGGTAATGACGATGGCGAATCTGACTAGGAACAAAAAGTAAGAGGAAGATATTCATGAACAGTAATCAAAAATCTTAAGGATCAAATAGACAATGGTCGTAACAGTGAGGTAGTCGATGCGCGGAGGGCCGATATCTGGACGCGAACGCTGCGGCTGCCCTGGCAATATTTCTAAGGCGCCGCCCTCGATTTCACCCCCCCGACCAAGTGTGGTTTCGAGATATTCGGACCTTGTCTTCTTAGAACTCAATTAATAGAAAAGCTCATGATCCTGCTGTGGAGTTGGGTGCTCATTTGATCTCATTTTTACCTTCGCGGTGCCCCTCTTTCAACCAAAAAAAAATTGTGCATTGTGAACCACACAACCTCAAAATCTGACTCGGTGAATGACTAAAAAAAAAGGCTAGGCTCGGTTAGGAGGCTATGGACCTGTACAAACTGGAAAATGTGTTTGAAATAATTTTGATACTACTACTTACTACTCCTATGCAGCCCTTGCTTTTCTCATCGTATCAACAAAAAAGAGGGTACAGACCCAAAGTGTGTGTAATCAAAAAGGACCCATCATCCAAATATCGCAGCCTAGTATTGAAAAAATGGGTTAAAATCGAAGAGGGCGCGACCAGGAATAGAGACGCTTGGACGCCCAGAGGGGGCCAGCTAGCCTTCATTGCCATATTGAATTGAAGCTTTTTGCGTAAATTGATACGCGTGGTCCTACAGATTGAGCAATTTTTTTAAGTGGACTGAGCAATGCCTAAGCACGAAAAAGGAGGCATGTTGTCGGCAGATGGCGAGTATGTATTGTTCTGGTATTTGGTAACGAACCCGATATGGATTGTAAGGGAAAACAAGAAGAGAACCCTTGTGACCAAATTTGGGTTACCAAAAACTGGAACCATTCAGGATACGACGACGACCGAAAACCCACTGAAAAACGAGAAAGGCGAAGGAAAGAAAGGCGCATGACTCTCAGGAAGCGCTCGAAAATGAGCAGGGAAACGGATACGGGTAGCCCCACTACAAGAACTGGAACCAAGACAATCGACAAGAGAGCGCCAGCAACGCGTCCGAAAGGCCGTCCGATGGCCTGAAACTTGAGCGCGTTCGCGTTTGCAGCTTTTTTTGCGTAGCTGTCATAAAGGCCGCTAGCTTTTGAGACCTGAAAGCCAGCGCCACAAGCCTCGGCTTGATAAGTAGCGCTACTCACAAAGAGCCTCGCGGGCCCCTGACTTTTCCCTTTGAGTAGAGCTACTCGAAAAAGCCTCGAAGGCCTCTGGCTTTTCCTTTTGAGGCCCGAGAAACTCAAGTTGAATTTTGGGGAGACTCTTTTTGAGCAGAGTTACTCGGCCGAGCCTCAAAAGCCGGCGGCTCTTGCCGAGGATTGAAAGCCTGAATGGTCTGCTCCAATTGTCTTGCTTCACATCCTCAAACTGAGTATTTCTATCACCAAAAACAAAGCACAGTCTGCCCTTACTTCAGTGGATGTGGAAAGTAAGTAAAGAGAAACAAGAATGACCCCTCCGACTTTCTAGAACAGGACGACGTCATCATGCTGATGGAAAATACTTAATACATAAGCGGGATACCGAAAATACGTAAGTAAAATTCATGAAGATAATAAGAAAAGTCAGCAGCTTCATGGCATTAATAAATTGTGTGGGAAATCTTCACCAGGGGAATCTTCATGGCCTTAATTTGCGGACTCGAGTGATCAGTCGCCCACTTGGTCAGCGCGTCCCGCTCTCGCATTAGAATCATGCTATGTCTCTAGTCTTGGCGACGCTTCTACTTCTTGCCCTCCTCCGCCTCGATACATTCCCTCAAACTTTCCCTGTCCTCTTGTGCCGTCCGCGTCCGCTAAGCAAGACAGTCAAAAATTTAGTGAAGGTGCCTACTAGACCCCAAAGAAGCTTTTTCTTAATGTGATTCTCGGTCTTAGCCAATCGTCCATGTGCTCCAGCCTAACCAGAAGCGGCTGCGAAACAAATTGCGTGCAGAGTTAGAAGTTTCATCACCAGAACAAACAGCGGCACAAGCAGCACGCGTAACTTCTTCAGTTTGGCAGCTCACACGGCGTAGAGTGAATGGACCGCATGGAGCTGCATGGAGCTAAAGGGGGCGCTTCTTGCGTCCCTTATGGATATGTGCCCCAACATGCGCTCCATGCTACTCCGTGCGCCATGCGTGCTATAAGCAGCTGCCCTGGTAGTAGTATACTTCGAAAAGCTGCATGATAACGAAACTTCGAAAAAATAGGAGTACCGGCTACCGAGTAAAGGTCGCTAAAAGGGACACGAACAACAGCAGACGAAGCTTTTCAAAGTGAAAAGACAGGCAAAATAAGCCTACGGCGGACTACGTGCAAAACATGACGATCATCTTAGACCTAGAACAAGTCGGACAAGGTAGTGCCGAGGGTCATACTGCAGTAAACATGTGGCTCTTTCTCTCGTCATTCAAGAATGAATGACAAAACACCCTATAGCATGATGGATTAGAGGACCTATATGGAAGTAGATAAGATGGATCCCTAAAAAACAGCTGCAGATGGTTTTTGTTGGCCTTCAACTGAGCCTTGGCCTTCACCATCTTCTTGGCCTCTGGCTTTATCCTTTGGACGGTGCTCGAACAGCTTGAGAGCTGGGCCAGCGTTGGAGGAAGAAAACGCAGCGATATCATCTGCCTCTATCTCTACCCGCGCCCCCTGTTCGTGCTGCTGGTAGGGATTAAGCTGGACGTAGTCAAATTCTTCTTTGGCCTTGTCTGGTGCTTCTTGGCCCGTTCCCGCATCTCCTCCACCCTCAGCTGCAATCTTAGGATCAACAACGTGTTACTTGCTTAAGTAGTTCTTCGGATTGATCCGAGGGCCTCGCTCAGATCAGGTTACAATGCACTACGATATTCATGCTCATGAGTTAGTTTGATTTGTTACACAGAATCAAGGCCACAGTGTCTCGTTTTGAAATCAATGAGAATAGGATAATCAAAAAGCTGAAGAATGTAACCAGTGGCCTGAGTGATAATCTAAAGTACTCGGCTTTATGGGGTGAGTTACTTGCTTACTTCAAGGCTACGCGTAGATAGGGGCTCATTCAGGATACTAGACATGTAGGAAAAAGGCGACGCAAGTAAGTACGGAACTGACATAACGCCAGAAAAAAGAAGCACTTAGACACTTTATTGGCTCCTTGTCTTCTTTTGTTCATCGTGCCATAGATCAGCTACTTTTCTGGAATGCACAATTGCTTGCGAACAAAAAGTTTTAGTTTAGGGGGTTGTATACATATAGTTGATATTCAAATAAATGTCATACGGATTGTTGCTCCATTCCTTCTGCATTGGAGACTTATTTCGAATCCAACTTCTAGTAGCACTTCTGTACCGGTAGTAGTACTTGTAGTAGTAAACCCACTTCTCGATAGATGAAACCCCAAGGATTGTTTTTGTAGATTCCGAGTCCTTCTCAGTCAATAGAAATAGAACGAGTTGTAAATTTCTTGAACAAAAGAAATATCATAAGAATGCTTTTTCCTTGGATAATATCGGCATCGTCCAGTAGCTTCTCGTTTGGCTCGACGCTGCCAAAGCCTGTAATGATGTCCCCAGCACGCAATGACGTTCCAGGAATGTCCACCATCACAACAAGCGCACAGCATTAGAGCGATAGCAGTAGCTACGTACGTGGTATACTAGTAGTCCTGTCGGCTTCATTTTCTTCTAATTGTACTAATTCGTGCTGTTTTCTTTTACCTAGGTGGACCGCGTCATCTCGTGGCGGTACCTTTCTGTAATAGATGGACACTTCCACTTCCGGACTAAATTGAAGTGCTGTGACGAAAAAGAAAGCAAGAAAAAGACAACCAAAAAAGGAGGAGAAAGAAAGATCCCCCGCCGCCACTCTTATGCTAGCTATGTATAATATTTACAAGAAACCGGGGCCGCCCCTTGGGCGACCCCTCCTTGATGGCAGCACAGTCACAAGAACAGACGAGTAGAAACATAAGAGAAAGCAAAAAAAAAGCGACCGAGGCACGGAGCGCCCGCCCCTTGGCCTTGGCGGCTGCCGTCGAGATGATGGAGAAGAACAAAGACCGAAGCAACCCACGGAACCCAGAACCCTGGCGCGCGGAATCAATTAGGCACGCCACGCCAATGAGACAGGCCCGGCGGACATTCATGCGTGCGCGGGGGCGGGCCGGAGGTGTTGCCAATGCCGTGAGGTGCGCCCGACGTCGGTGAGCCCTCCCAAGCCCGCGCGCCCTGCTCGTCTTGTTCGCTGGTCCCGCTCAGCTTGCCCAGGCAGTTTGGCCGGGGCCAGCTTTGGCCGCTCAAGCCTCTCCGGTTTGAGCTGCCCGCGTTCTCGCCTAGGGCTAGCTGACTGCCCTCGGGTTTGTTCTTTGGCTCAACGAGCGGGGGCCGCCCATCGGTCCCGCCTCGGCCCCCAAAGTGCCCCACGACCTCCTCAAACGCAGCACGACCGACCTCCCCAAACACGGGACGGCGCGACCTCCCAGACACAGCGCGACCCCTTAAGCACCGCACGGCCCCACGCTACAACGTGGCCACGCAGTCGCAGCGCGTCCCCCAAGCAACACACGAAGCACCAAAGACGCCACGGGCCCCCAAGCAAACTTATTAACACTCCACGACCACCAAGAAGACACAGCGCGACCCTCCAGGCAACCCACTACGGCCCCCAGAAGACAACATGAGCACGAGCATAGGGGCACAGCATGACCCCCCGCGGAAATTACTACTGACCGCCAGCCCCCAGAAGACAAAGGAAGCAACCCCGCAGACAACACGCAGCCCCTGGGCTATGACATGACCCGCCCCCTAAAAAAAAGAGCAAAACCGCAAGAGGGACCACGACCCCCTTGCGGCACCCCCTGACCCCAAACCCCCAAAGGCACTGCATGGCAAACCATAAAACCGAGCACGGCCCCAAAGGCACGGCGTGACCCCCGGGCACAGCATAGACCCACAAAGGGACAAATGGCCGGACATGAGGCACGACAACCAAGACGCACCAGCACGACCGCCAAAGAGACAGCGCGACGAACTTCCAAAACAACTCAGCACCCCCAAAACAGCACGGACCCCAAAACACAGCAAGACCCCGAAGGGCACAGCACTACCACCCCGAACACACCGCGGCGACGAGGACGACTAAGACACCCCACGACCCCAAAGGACCACCATGACCCCCCGACGCTGTAACTTATGGAGACCTCTCACCCCTACACCATAAGGCCCCGCATGACCGCGCACCATCCAAAGCGCAGCCACCTGGCCACGCACCAAAACGCAGCACGACAGACCCCAGAAGCACAGCGCCAAGCCTACCAAGGCCCACCATGACCCCCCTCAACTCATTGCGACCAAATGGACGCAGCACGCGGCGACNGACCGGGCGCAGGGGGCCCGAGGGGGTTGCCCGGGCGGGAGTTGGGCGCCGCGTTTCTATCTTGGTGAGATTGCCCGCCCGCGGACTCCTCCAGCCGCACTCTCCTCGAGGGGTGTCCGGATCCGCGAGGAGCTAGCCGCGCGCCTACAGCTATGGCCTCCCACCCGCGTGGCTGGCTCTTACATCCGGCGCCTTTTCGGCTTTGCGCCACGAAAATCATCAAGCAGGCGGGAAGTTGTGAAGGCGTTGCCAGCACGCAGGTTGGCCCCCCTTCCCCTTAAGATACCTCGCTCGCAGCCTCCGCGCGCGCACTCCCAAGGGGGAGCTGCGAAACGCTAGCCCCCTACTGTGGTGCCGGTTTTTCTCCAGTTTTCGCCGAGGTTCTCAAGCGTCGCCGCGCCTGATCTGGTACGGAAGTTGGACAGGGGTCGCCCGCCCCCCTGCCCCCGCCTCCCCTTCTTCCCCCGACGATCCCTCAAAAAACCCGGCTGAGACTCTTTGGACCATTTGGACAGGCGCAGGGGTTGGACAGTGGTGGCCCCCCTCCCCCCTCTTGAAAATATCGAAGGCAGTGGAAGTAGTTCGCGGAGTCAGTCTGAGTCTCAGGCACGGGGTGGAGCTCTTTGAAGTTTGCTCTTCTTGCAGGGTTGTCGCACGTGTTTGCTGAGTGTCGGGGGGGAATGTGTCGGGGGGAGTAGCGCCCGGGACTCGCGACCGGGTTTAGGAGAAGTGGCCTCAAGCTTGCGGCCTTGCGAAGAGGGTCGCGCAGGGGTTGGACAGGCACAGGGGTTGGACAGGGGTTGGACCCCCCTACCCCCCCCTAGGACCCCCCCCTTCTCCCCCCGATAGTCCCTCGCAAAACCTCTCCGAAATCTTTTGACCATTATAACTCTTTTAATGCTAAATGTAAATTGTGTCTGCGGTGTCAGGGTTTCTTTTGCGCAAGCTCCTGCTCCCTCAGGCACGTCGACAAGTAGCAAAGTGTGCTACTCGTGCCTACTAGTATCTCTATCCATATCCAGTAGTGCCGTGCATCCTTCTACTCTAAATATACAATATCATGTACTTACTAGGGGGCGAGTTTTGCAGCGATAGACCGGTGCAAGGTTTGAAATAAAGTCTACAATTTATTACGGTGGCTAGGTTAGGGTAGGTTGGGGTCTGCGGTAGTAAGGTCAGTGCCTGCTGAAAAAACAAAATTTACTTCCTACAGCTGGTGATGCTACTCTAGTCTGACTTTTCTATCCACGGAGACCAGTGGCGAATTCAATTATATTATCAGCGGGAAAATTTTCTGAATTCTACCTAGAAGGAGAAGAGCGCCCACTCAAATGTAATATTAGTCGCAAGTCTAAAAAAATGAAGAAAATAATGCCAAGGAACTAGATTCTTGCCATTAATTATAAGGAAAAGGATTAGCCTTGCCACCCGAATGAGGACCGAGGCCCATCATTTAACTGACAGACCCCATCTCGAACCGGAAAGGCCTAGTAATACAGTGCTATCGGGTTTGTTTTCACGCCGGCGCGTATTGATGGAGCAGGAAAGTAGTCTAAGATGAGGAAAATTGAGACGCGCGCCGTTTCATGTTACATCATCATGGCCCAGCCTGGACATTACTGAAGGTGCTCTCCTTCAAATAATGATCTTGATATCGTGGTAAGCAGAATCCGATCCCTATCCCTAAAATATATAATTGAGTGATAGTTTTTTAGGCATCCTTGTTGAACTGTTGTCTTTGGTGATCTTCAGATGCTCTCTAATCAACTTACAGAGGAGTCATCTACTCTAGCCTTAGCGGTGGCATTCTTTTAGGGTCCGTTGCGACAGCTCCATTAGACAACCCAAGGTTTCCTCTGCCCGCTTCGGATCCTCGCCTTGGTCCTCCTTGTCGTGCAGTTTCCTGTTGTACTCCGCTTCGTACTCCGAAATCTTAGACATGGTAGTGTTTTGATCGTCGACACGTACTTCTGCTCCCGAGATATTTTACTCTTATACTTTACAAGAAACCGGGGTCGCCCCTTGGGCGACCCCTCCTTGATAGCAGCCCAGTCACAGGCACAGAGTAGCAACATAAGAGAAAGCAAAAAAAAAAGCGACTGAGGCACGGAGCGCCCGCCCCTTGGCCTTGGCGGCTGCCGTCGAGATGATGGAGAAGAACAAAGACCGAAGCAACCCACGAAACCCAGAACCCTGGCGCGCGGAATCAATGAATTAGGCACGCCACGCCAATGAGACAGGCCCGGCGGACATTCATGCGTGCGCGGGGGCGGGCCGGAGGTGTTGCCAATGCCGTAAGGTGCGCCCGACGTCGGTGAGCCCTCCCAAGCCCGCGCGCCCTGCTCGTCTTGTTCGCTGGTCCCGCTCAGCTTGCCCGGGCAGTTTGGCCGGGGCCAGCTTTGGCCGCTCAAGCCTCTCCGGTTTGAGCTGCCCGCGTTCTCGCCTAGGGCTAGCTGACTGCCCTCGGGTTTGTTCTTTGGCTCAACGAGCGGGGGCTGCCCATCGATCCCGCCTCGGCCCCCAAAGTGCCCCACGACCTCCCCAAACGCAGCACGACCGACCTCCCCAAACAACGCGCGACCTCCCAAACACAGCGCGACCCCTTAAGCACCGCACGGCCCCAAGCTACAACGTGGCCACGCAGTCGCAGCGCGTCCCCCAAGCAACACACGAAGCACCAAAGACACCACGGCCCCCCAAACTTATTAACACACCACGACCACCAAGAAGACACAGCGCGACCCTCCAGGCAACCCACTACGGCCCCCAGAAGACAATATGAGCACGAGCATAGGGGCACAGCATGACCCCCCGCGCAAATTACTACAGACCGCCAGCCCCCAAAAGACAAAGGAAGCAACCCCGCAGACAACACGCAGCCCCTGGGCTATGACATGACCCGCCCCCTAAAAAAAAGAGCAAAACCGCAAGAGGCACCGCGACCCCCTTGCGGCACCCCCTGACCCCAAACCCCCAAAGGCACTGCATGGCAAACCATAAAACTGAGCACGGCCCCAAAGGCACGGCGTGACCCCCGGGCACAGTCAGCATAGACCCACAAAGGGACACATGGCCGGACGTGAGGCATGACAACCAAGACACACCAGCACGACCGCCAAAGAGACAGCGCGACGAACTTCCAAAACAACACAGCACCCCCAAAACAGCACGGACCCCAAAACACAGCAAGACCCCGAAGGGCACAGCACTACCACCCCGAACACACCGCGGCGACGAGGACGACTAAGACACCCCACGACCCCAAAGGACCACCGTGACCCCCCGACGCTGTAACTTATGGAGACCTCTCGCCCCTACATCATAAGGCCCCGCATGACCGCGCACCATCCAAAGCGCAGCCGCCTGGCCACGCACCAAAACGCAGCACGACGGACCCCAGAAGCACAGCGCCAAGCCTACCAAGGCCCACCATGACCCCCCTCAACTCATTGCGACCAAATGGACGCAGCACGCGGCGACACCACTGAAAAAAGGAAGCCAAGCCACAAAAGGAGAAGCAAAAGCCTGGCCCCCATTTTAAAGGCACAGCGTGACCTCCTCCAAAACAAAGAGCAGCGCGCAGCCCCCAAGGCACCACGATCCCACACCCATACGGAAGACGGACCGTGGCCCTTGAAACACACCACGCGCACCCTGACGCCGCGCGGCCTTCTTAACTCACTGCAAAACACAGCCCGCCCCGCTGCCGTAGCTGCAGCATCCGCATGCCTTCCGAGACATTGCTTGCCTGCCCCCCTGGGAACGAATTGGCCCCCCCTGCACCCACAGGCAGCAGCCACCACCCCCCGAGCACCACCCAAGCAAGACGCCAAGCACAAAGTGACCCACGAGAAACAGACCACAACGACGACCCTCCAACGCATCGCCATCGACTCCCAAAAAAACGCCACGGCGTGACCTGCCTGCAGCATCTACATGACCGCAAAGGGATTCGGCTGCCTCCTCACCGCGCAGCCTCGAGAAACAACATAACCCCAAGGCAAGCACTGCCGCCAGCATGGACGCCAAGGCCCTCACTCGGTGACCCCCAAGTCGCATCGCGATCCTTGAAGACCACCGCGGCCAGATATTCACAACCACACAACGCGCGCCCCCAAGGCGAAACATGGACGGCGACCCCCTGAACACACCACGACGACCACCAAAGCGCGCCGAGCTTCCCCTGACGCTGACAACCAAGACGCACCAGCACGACCGCCAAAGAGACAGCGCGACGAACTTCCAAAACAACACAGCACCCCCAAAACAGCACGGACCCCAAAACACAGCAAGACCCCGAAGGGCACAGCACTACCACCCCGAACACACCGCGGCGACGAGGACGACTAAGACACCTCACGACCCCAAAGGACCACCGTGACCCCCCGACGCTGTAACTTATGGAGACCTCTCGCCCCTACATCATAAGGCCCCGCATGACCGCGCACCATCCAAAGCGCAGCCGCCTGGCCACGCACCAAAACGCAGCACGACGGACCCCAGAAGCACAGCGCCAAGCCTACCAAGGCCCACCATGACCCCCCTCAACTCATTGCGACCAAATGGACGCAGCACGCGGCGACACCACTGAAAAAAGGAAGCCAAGCCACAAAAGGAGAAGCAAAAGCCTGGCCCCCATTTTAAAGGCACAGCGTGACCTCCTCCAAAACAAAGAGCAGCGCGCAGCCCCCAAGGCACCACGATCCCACACCCATACGGAAGACGGACCGTGGCCCTTGAAACACACCACGCGCACCCTGACGCCGCGCGGCCTTCTTAACTCACTGCAAAACACAGCCCGCCCCGCTGCCGTAGCTGCAGCATCCGCATGCCTTCCGAGACATTGCTTGCCTGCCCCCCTGGGAACGAATTGGCCCCCCCTGCACCCACAGGCAGCAGCCACCACCCCCCGAGCACCACCCAAGCAAGACGCCAAGCACAAAGTGACCCACGAGAAACAGACCACAACGACGACCCTCCAACGCATCGCCATCGACTCCCAAAAAAACGCCACGGCGTGACCTGCCTGCAGCATCTACATGACCGCAAAGGGATTCGGCTGCCTCCTCACCGCGCAGCCTCGAGAAACAACATAACCCCAAGGCAAGCACTGCCGCCAGCATGGACGCCAAGGCCCTCACTCGGTGACCCCCAAGTCGCATCGCGATCCTTGAAGACCACCGCGGCCAGATATTCACAACCACACAACGCGCGCCCCCAAGGCGAAACATGGACGGCGACCCCCTGAACACACCACGACGACCACCAAAGCGCGCCGAGCTTCCCCTGACGCTGACAACCAAGACGCACCAGCACGACCGCCAAAGAGACAGCGCGACGAACTTCCAAAACAACACAGCACCCCCAAAACAGCACGGACCCCAAAACACAGCAAGACCCCGAAGGGCACAGCACTACCACCCCGAACACACCGCGGCGACGAGGACGACTAAGACACCTCACGACCCCAAAGGACCACCGTGACCCCCCGACGCTGTAACTTATGGAGACCTCTCGCCCCTACATCATAAGGCCCCGCATGACCGCGCACCATCCAAAGCGCAGCCGCCTGGCCACGCACCAAAACGCAGCACGACGGACCCCAGAAGCACAGCGCCAAGCCTACCAAGGCCCACCATGACCCCCCTCAACTCATTGCGACCAAATGGACGCAGCACGCGGCGACACCACTGAAAAAAGGAAGCCAAGCCACAAAAGGAGAAGCAAAAGCCTGGCCCCCATTTTAAAGGCACAGCGTGACCTCCTCCAAAACAAAGAGCAGCGCGCAGCCCCCAAGGCACCACGATCCCACACCCATACGGAAGACGGACCGTGGCCCTTGAAACACACCACGCGCACCCTGACGCCGCGCGGCCTTCTTAACTCACTGCAAAACACAGCCCGCCCCGCTGCCGTCGCTGCAGCATCCGCATGCCCTCCGAAACATTGCGTGCCTGCCCCCCTGGGAACGAATTGGCCCCCCCTGCACCCACAGGCAGCAGCCACCACCCCCCGAGCACCAGACCACCCAAGCAAGACGCCAAGCAAAAAGTGACCCATGAGAAACAGACCACAACGACGACCCCCCAACGCATCGCCATCGACTCCCAAAAAAACGCCACGGCATGACCTGCCTGCAGCATCTACATGACCGCAAAAGGATTCGGCTGCCTCCTCACCGCGCAGCCTCGAGAAACAACATAACCCCAAGGCAAGCACTGCCGCCAGCATGGACGCCAAGGCCCTCACTCGGTGACCCCCAAGTCGCATCGCGATCCTTGAAGACCACCGCGGCCAGATATTCACAACCACACAACGCGCGCCCCCTAGGTGAAACATGGATTGCGACCCCCTGAACACACCACGACGACCACCAAAGCGCGCCGAGCTTCCCCTGACGCTGACACACCACGACCCGCCAAGCATGCCGCAGCCACTCAGACACAGCGGGGCCCCTTAGTAGAAACGCGGCCGCCTGAGGGCACTGCGTTCGCGTTGCGCTTAAAACATCACGCGGCCCCTCAAGATCTGCATGACTGTGAGCACGCGCCGCGGCCGTGCATCCCTCCAAGCTCCTCACGACGCGATCTTCCTCCAGCGAGCCACCCACGCACCCCCCCCCCGCACTTCGCGACCCCTCAGATCTGCAGGAATACGCACGGCCTCTGCAGAAAAGTGAGAGGCTGCCCACGGCCACGGCGCCGCAAGCACAGCGCAGCTTAATGGACACCACTGCCCCCGCCAGACCCCCCCGACACAACGCGGACAGCACCCAAGATGCGACGCAACCCACCAGGCAGCGCGCGACCTCCTAAAGCGCCGCAGCGCAACGAACCCCCCAAGCGCTGCACAGTCCAAAAAACAAAGCCGGACCCCTGAGCAGACACAGCGTGAACCTTTGGGC